TTGTAACTTTTTTAGTGCTTGTGAAAAAAATTGTTATACAAATTTTATGTACCCCCTTTAAGGGGCTGTATATTAACAAGGGATGCTCCAATGAAGGAAGAGCTATTGTTTGAAATTTCACAAAGTTCAATGACAAAAAGTCCATACTCACAGTTCTAAGATAACTGTCATAACTTTTCCGTTTTCGAACGCATCGTAAATCTGGATCAGTCTCGGATGCTGCAACGCTCTCATGATGTCAATTTCTCTCTCCACGTTTCGTCTGTCTTCCTTTTTCGGGCAGCCTATGAACTTTGCCGCCAATGATAGTCCGGTAGATTTTTCTGTGCATCTGTAGACAGTGCCGAATTTGCCCCTGAAAGTGGAATTCATCAAACCGAAATTGTATATCATAACTATTCATGTACCTATCATTACTTTAAACTAACAAAAGAAAAGATGTTCAATCTATGGAGCCCTTTCTCCAATCTCTCTGAAAAAGTTTTCAAAATAGACCACATTTCTGAGGGGAAGTACGGCCGTAAGTGGGTCCATTTCTATTAGTATCATTTTAACATATCGAGAAAAGTGTTATTCGGAACATAGTTTAGAGCAATAGATATTTATTAAATATACACTGCCCGGCATAAAGCTAGGGTCACCACATGAGTTGAAGTTATCTTGAAAACTTTTGTTTCTATTTGAATTATTTTGGATGTACCATAATGTAATAATGAATTATATCAAAAACATAGTTGTTTGAGCCCGCACCTGGATTCCTAAAAACCACTATTAGTCTCAATTTTTTTTCTACTTTTATCTGTTTGTTTGTGTTTGTTGGTGTATCGAAATGAACATAAATTATGTTGTTGTGGCAAGAATTGTGGTGGCTTTGGAAAATAGCGGCAGTCATCTCCAAACTGCAAGAAACGTTGGTGTAAATCTTTCGAGTATGGCGGCGGTACCACGAAACTGGTCTGCTAACTCGAAGACCTGGTTCAGGGCGATGCAGGACTACAACAGCTACGGATGATCGCTTATGTACGAGTATGGAGACGACCAGGCAAAATATATGCCCTAGCGTGTATTGCCGAGCGACTTCCATTCGGTGGCGGAGCAGTTATTGCATGAGGTTAGGATTAGGTCAAGAATAAGTGGGCATATTCGACCCTCCACCGCAACCCACAAGGGTTTATTGTGGCTTACACCTATTCAAACTCGACCAAATAAACCCAGCTTCTTGACGAAGCCGATTAGTCCATATGGTGAGTGATCTTTCAGGTCAGATGGTGAAAGTGTTGTTCTACCAAACTCTGAAAACTTGATTTGTTCCGCAGCGGGGCAAGCACAAAGTATATGCTCTGTGATACATAGCACTGTTTTCCGAGAGTCCGAGTCTCTGTATATGATGATTCACACGACAGTAACCTGTAACGAGGCCAGTTAGACATCGTAGTTCATCCCTGCTGTAGTCCAACAACTGTTTGGTTTCAAGCTTCGAAGGGTGAACGAACGCCTTGGAGTGAGGTAATCCTGGAAGATTTTGCCAAAAATCTTTAAATATTC